CATTGCATGCAGGGCGTCCTGATCGATATCTCGCAGTCGCACGGGAGGCGTTGCTTCACGAACCAGCAGTGCAAGCACAGGGCCCTGACCACCAGTTCTATGCTCTATGCGTGTGATCGACAAGACGTGTTGTGGCCGGAGGAGCATCTCTATTTGCACGCATACCACCACGACACCTTCGTTCCAAGCACTATGTCAGGTGCAGCCATCCGGACTTTGGCAGGAGAAGGCTTTGCTTTGCCTAGCCTCGGAAGCATCATTTGGTCCTTGTATGTCACAAAACGCTTTGGATGTCTGTGCGACAATTGAATCGCCTGGCGCCGCCAAACGTGGTTCCCGTCCTATCTGCAATCTATGTACGTAGTAATACGTCATCATATCAATATTTCAATCATTTCAGCACTCATTCTACTTAGACTTAGGTCTTAGGTAGTTGTATCCCAGCAGACAGTAGCAGCGTAGCAGCAATTTGACGGAATCCAGGAGGTAGCAGGCAGCAGGCAGCAGCGAGCAGCTAGCTGCTGCTAGCAGCCACCAACTACCATCTACATGGCAGCGGGGACTTCGTTTGGACTTTGACTTGGATGGCAATGCCGATGTTTTTTTTTGCCTTGTGGAGCAGGCGGTAGGACGAGCTCTTGATCAATGGAAAATAAGCCGCAATTAGCCGAATTAGCCGTCGGCCGTAGCAGCAGCCATGCTAGATGCAGCAGTAGTTTAGTTATGGTATAGTATAGGCCCGTACGGGCAGCGAGCCATGTTAAGGCCAAGGCCCATGTCACACGAAAAGCATGATCGAAAGAGCGTTTCCAGCCTGGTCATCTGTTCATCATTTTTTGTCATTTAGTCAAATTTAGTCACCGTCTGCTCCACGATCCCGACATGTACCTCATCATTTGCTGCTGTATGTATTGCAGGTTGTACATTGCAGGTAGTTCGTAGTGGTGGTTCGTGGTGTGTTGCTGTCGTGTTGCGGCAAATGAAACAACGTGCTCTTGCGCTTGTGTTGCTGGTGTCGTCAGCTAGCAGCAGCTCAGTCCGTGCGAGCGGCCATTGCCGTGGCAGCTTCCGCGGCATCATGCCCCGCGCAGCTCCACTTAGAAACGACAGTCATTGGTCACTAGTCACTAGTCACTATAGTCACGTTACCGTTACTAGTTACAGTTAGTGGTCACGAGGCCAAGCGTTATACACTAGTTTAGTCACTAGAGTCTCTACAGTCTCTAGAGTCTAGAGTCTAGAGTCTAGTCTAGTCATCGGCTTCCCACGCAGATTCTGCTCAGTTTCCGCGTTGCTGCTGCTGCGTGCAGCCCAAGGCCTAAGGCTCAAGGCCAACGTGTTCTGGACTTAGATTTGAGTAGATTGAGTAGCTTAGAGTCGATTCTATATGCCCCAGGGCCCTCAGGCTTCTGGGATTCTAGGCGTCCTAGATTCTAAGCTTCTAGATTCTAGACCACTCTAGGATTCTGGGATTCCAGATTCCAGCGTAGCTTGCAGCCCTGCGGTCCAAGGTATCGTAAACTCCTAGGGTCCTAGATTCCTAGGTCCTAGATGTCCTGAAAGCAGCCATGTCATAGACCTTGAAAAATCATGTCTGCTGGAGCTCTGAGCAAATTCAAGATGCAGGTCAGTAGTGATGACTTCGGCCGATACGGCGAGATGATCGGAAAACAGCACCTTCGCATATGTCTCCGCAAATGACTGCCAAGCTGAACAACCACAACATTTTGTTCTGTGAGCGCAACACGCGACGTAACACTTTGACCTCTCACGGCTGCTATTGTATCGTGCTTGTGCCACAGTGTAGTGACGTGTAGTCAGTGCAGTCCACTCCTCAGTGGAGTGTCCTCACGCTGCGTGCCGGTGATCAGTCATGGCGCCGAAAAACCGTGGTAAGCAGCCGGAGAAGCCGGTACCCGAGGACGCCCAACTGGAATCCAAGGGGCATCTTCCGGGTACTGGTGTTATGAATTTGCGGCAGTGGTCCGCCCATGCTCGGTTCTTTTCGGAGTTGGTCTAGGAATCGAGGGTTCGACGACGGGGATCTGGAAGTGAGAGGGGAGCAGGTAGTCACGTAGGACGTAGTGACGTAGTGTATGGTATATACTCAGTCACCAGTTAGTCGTCTAGGAGTCTAGTAGTAATCGTAGTCACCAGTCACCAGGTAGTTACAGTTGCACGTACTTGTGGGTTTCCAGACGTGTTTCGTCCTGGTTCGGTTGTTTTCAGAGTCCGTTTGGGGTGAACAGCTTAAATTGTCCGAGGACGTGCCGGCGCCTGTGGGGGCCAAGAGGCAGAAACGTGGCTCCGAGGCCCTGGTTGCTCGGACCAGTGCCCCTGGCGCTGGAAGCAGCCAGGTCTTAGTGCTGCAAACGAAGAGGAACGCGGAGGGCGAGCTGGTGCTGAAGTGCTGCTTCCTGTGCAAGTGTACCAACCAGGTGCGCGAAAGGGTTATGTATGTGCACAGTCGGTGAGTGAGTTTGAATGTGTTGAGTATTGGTACTGGACAGTGTAAAGTGTGTAGAGTGTAGAGTGTAAAGTTTTAAGTTTAAAGTTAGCACTTAGCTCAGAGGCTTAGAGTGTAGTCCGGGCAGTGTAGTGTAGTGTATAGAGTGAAAGTGTAGTCAAGCGTGTATGAAGAATGCTACAGTTACTACAGTTGCTACAATTCAGTGCTAGAGTCTGCTAGCATAGAGTGCTGCTGCTACAGTGCTATAGCTGCTACAGTGTTACAAGTTACGGTGTTATTACATGAGCATCATATGAGCCCTAGCGGAGCACGCAGGGGCCCAATGCCGTGGCCTTCGCGACCCAAGATCCTCTCAAAGTTGCCATTACTGATGGATGCCTCACCTGCATCATGGTGCTGGGAGAGGCATGGCCAGGATGCAGCTGGAAGTGGGCGTGCGAGTGGCTCGGATGCGGTGATTGTTGAAAGTATTGTGGGGCCACCAGGCTACAGGCTCCCTTGCCTAGCCTAGCAATTGTCTTGCCAGTTAGCAGCAGCTAGTTAGCTAGTTGCTTGCGCTGCTAGCAGAGGTAGGAGATGCTGGGTTGGGGCAGAGGTTTTGGGGTGCAGGTTGCTTACGTTCCTAGAAATCTCGGGCTGGATCACTGTACCTAACCTAATGACCTGATTAGACCTAAGTGACTCTAGACCTCTAGACCTAACCGACCAAATCATGCTATGAGACTGATACGGAACAGGCAGAGTGCCGGCAAGGTCTTCAAGGCGGCTTTCCTTGCTGCGCGGAAGATAAAACTCGGTGAGAAGAGTGCAGACCTTGTGCGGCCATCGGATGTGCGCGATGTCGAGACAAGGGGTTTCGAAGTCTTCTTCGAAGTTGGCCTCCTCTCGGACAGCGAGATGAAGACTGCACTGAATGTATCCTCCGTGACCACTAAGCCGTTGAGGGACAAGGTCAAGAAGATCGTCACAAAGATCGAAGACGGCACGACCCAGACCATGTACGTCGTGTCGCTGGACGGTTTGAGCTGTGGAAGAATCCACAGCATGCGACGAATGAAAGTCTACTGCTCCTTGACTACGAGGAAAGAGGATTATCTCTTGATGGCAGCCAAACAGCTCCGGAAGGAACAGGCGACGATGCAGTTGGAGCATGCCTGGGCGAAGCGCACGGGTAGAGAGGATTATCCGGGCCTGCTTCCTCCGGCCAAGCAGGCAGCCAAGACCATAGACGACTTGCTCGAGGAGGCAGACAAGGCAACGATGCAAAAAGTGGCCACTGACGCAGCTCAAGAGGACCCCGAGCAGAACTCGGACGCAGAGGAGGCTTCTCAGCAGGATTCCGAAGGCAACGAAGGCCTCGATGTGACGCCGGCCTTTGCAACAGACGACTTCGAACCAGAGCCGAAAAAATCCGCTGCTGTAAAAGGTTCTGGTGGACGTGGCGGAGCTGGAGCGAAGGCTCGCAGCAAGAAGCGTGCAGGAGGGCATGAATCGGACGAGGACATGACAATCAGGAGCGGCAGGGGCTCGATGACTTCATTCGTGCAAGAGGAGGAGTTGACGAGTCTTGCTGTGCTGGACCCGGACATGCGCACGGTGGCGGAGCGGCTGGAGAAGCCGCCAGACTGCTTGAAGGGTTTGGTCGTCCGCTTGTTTCTGGCCGGAGCCGGAGACGGACGCAGCCTCCGAGCAGTTTGGAGCTGAGTCCAGAAGTTTGCGTTTGCTGACTTGTCGGGGTTCAGCAGGGTCGGTTTTCAAAACGGGGAGAGGGGGAGGGGGAGGGAAGAGAGCAGAGGGGGCGGGGGAAAATTTGGGGGGGGGGAGGGGTGGGGTGCGCTCACAAACGCATCCTGGGAAATCAAGTGTGAACTGTGAAACTTCACACACAAGCAAACTGCAGACACATGTTCATAGAGGCTCCCAGCTCAGAGACTCACCAGAACATCAGGTTCCGAGAAGGCAAAATATAGGGCACAGAGACAGAGAGAGAGGGAGAGATCCAGGAAAGATTGCTTTATACATCATTGTAGTCAAGTCATCATAGTCATTATGTCACTATGTATAATCACTATGGTCATAGTCACTATAGTCAATACTATAGTCATCATTGTCATAGTAGTTTCTAATGGCTCTAATGACTCGAGACTCTTGGCTCCCAAAGGAGTGGACTCTGCAGACTCTACAGCTACATACTCTACAGATTCTTTCTCTAAACTTCAAAGTTTAAACCTTGAGGCCTTAGCCGCAGCCTTCCAATCCCTTCGTGTCCATTCCTTCTCTCTCTGCCTCCCTCGCTGTCTCTCCTTGCCATCTCTATCTCTCAGGTCTCCCCTGCTTCTGTCTGTCTGTTCGTTTGTCCGTGTGAGTGTGTGTGTGTGTGTCTCCTTCCCCGTCTTGGTCCTGGGCATGAAACTCTGGCTGGCTCTCTGTCTCTCTCTCTCTCTCTCTCTTTTTCTCTCTCTCTCTCTCTCTCTCTCTCTCTCTCTTTCTCTGTCTCTGTCTTTATCAGGCATCGACGGTGCTGGACACCATGGAGGCAAAGGAGATGACCGAGGCTATAAAGCTCAAGAAGCGCCTGGACCTGTGCAAGCAGGCCAAGACGATCATGCAACAAGGCGTGCATAAAGTCAACCTGCGAGACTTGACCCTGGCGCTGAAGCTGTTCCAGGACAACAGCGTGGATGCACCCCTGAGCTTCAAGCTTTCCGTGACACACAGGATGTGTGTGGAAGGATTCCACGGCCTGGTGACGAATCCAGAGAGGGCCCGGGAAATCTTGCACGAGTACACGAATGTTCTCGCCAAAATGGAGATTTGGCGCTTGGACCAGGATGCTTTTTTCTTGACGAGCCCTTCCTATGGTGCTTTGATGGCGAGCATCCTGGACAATGTCTTGGAGGACACTGCGGAGGACCCCGAGTCGTTGAATTTCGACCATGTGGACACCCCGAAGCCAAGTGGGGACACGAAGCATGTCGAGGACAGGAAGGGACCCCAGTCACACGGTTGTTTTATGTAGTTGAGTAGACTTGAGTCGTAGTCGTAGTCACATGTACTCAGCACTCACTCCAAAGCATGGCGTAGCTGGCTCAGCTGAACTACTAGGGCCTAGGGGCATTGGCATAGGCATACGCCCAGACCGCACACGTCCTGCGCTCACGCAGGCGGTGGCGGCATCCTACCTCTCAACCTGGGGCTGCGATGCATTCTTCAAGATCGTTCGCAAGGGCTCGGACAAGAATCCCGGGCTCTTGCACTTGTGCACAGCCTTCGACGCTGCCATATGTGAGGCCGAGCATGCAGGATCCTTGAAGCAGTTGCCGAAGCCCGTGTCAAAGGCAGTGTCCTGTGTTCGCCGCGCGCTTTGTGCGGCATGGGTGCTGTTGGACTCTTCTGGCGACTGGCCCATGGAGTCACTGGACTATGTGATCCAGCTCGGCAACCGTGCGGATTCCGCTGTGGCCCTGGAGTCCAACCTGGGCATCATCCTCCGCGAGCACGACTTGTGGGCCGCGGCTTACCAAGAGTTTGTGCGCACAGCCGTGAACACCAAGGAGATGTTGCCCCAAATCCGTGCTGCTGTTGAGCAGATGACACGATCTAACGAGGAGGATTGCTTGGACCAGAACTTCTTGGAGGCTGTGCAGCTTGTGCAGCTGGGTCGTTCCAAGCTCCGGGCGGGCACTACGGAGAAGTTGGAAGACGTGCTGCTCCCGAGAACATTGAAGATCGTTGAGAAGCTGTGCAGCTCGGATGCCCGGAGTGCGGGCGTGGGTCGCAAGATGCTCGAAAGCTTGGATCATTTCATGGCCTTGATGTCGACGCGTGAAGGCGTTGCCAACGCCCGCCGTGACCTCCAGGAGTGGAGTGTCAGCAAGGCGTCCGAGATGGGCAAGAATGCTCTGATCGATTATGCGGCCGAGAACGCCAGTGACGAGAGGGGCCGTGAGTCTGTCGACTTGCCGCACATCGGCGACCTCATTCTTCGAGCCCAGCAGGCGTCTTTGGACATCGGCGACAGCGCCGAGATCGGACGAGAGGAGCTCGCCTTGGGCAGCTTGCTTCGCAATGTTTTCTTGCATCTGTCCGATCAGGATCCGTGGGAGGGCAAGGGGAGTTGTGTTGCGGAGTGTGAGAAGAAAAGCTCGGGGGACGCAGAACACACAGTCCAGTAATTCTAGATTCTAGATTCTAGGACAAGGACCAGGATTCCAGGACCCTAGGGCCCTAGGACTCTAGTAGCGCCTAGGACCTGGGATTCTAGAACAGTCAGTGGCCGCGAATAGCACGATCATTCAGCAGAGAAGTCCATTGGAGTCTATGTCTATAAAAAACATTAAGTCAGTATGTTTCCAGAGTTGTGTACGCAGAATCAGTGTAATCAGTTCAATAGAAAAGCCGACCGTTTTCGTTCTGGACTCCGCAGATGGCGGCGATTCCGACTGGTGGGGCCCTGATCACAAGCCAGTGCTTCAACGTTGCGCAGGACCTGGTTCAGAGGGTTCTGAAGACGCAGAACTTCACACGCCAGACGCTCATCAAATTCCTCAAGATCTTGCGAGATGGCCAGCTGCACCTGCAGCGCACACAGACGTTTCTTGAAGGAGGCAAGGACGCAAAGGCTCGTGTCGAGGCTGACCCCGACCTCGAGAAGCTGTTCGATTTGGTGCAGGGCCATCGGACCATCACTGTCTATGCCAGCAAGCTGAACGATGTCAGGGTCAACATTCCGGACACCAGCAATCCCGACGTGCCATCTACGCAGACCATTCCTGTGCCCTCCATCGGCCAACTCCCCACAGATGTCACAGACACGTTGTCGTTTGTTCTGGCTCAGACAGCAAACGATGCCGAGTCGCTGGTTAAAACGATCGGGGATGACACCGCGGACTTGCACATGCCAGAGACATCTTGGAAGAAAACCTTGAAGAGCAATTCCAGTCTGGACGAGGTGTACCGAACAGCCAAAGCCAACTTGGGTACCGTCAAGGGCTTGACCGTCCAGAAGCATGTGTCGGAAGCTGAGAAGGCTGCGAGTTTCAACTACGTTTGAGTCTAGAGTCTAGAGTCTAGGTCCTAGGTTCATTGGTGGTTGCAAAGAACGGGGATGGCATCCTTCAGATGATTGATTAGCCAAACAGTCAAACCCTGCGCAGGTTCTCGACAAGGCGGACGAGCTCTCCAACGTCGTCGCCGAATTGGTGGATGAGGATGAGGATAAGGATTCAGTGCTGCCGCACTGGACGCGTTTCGAGAAGGAGATCGGCATCTTGCGGACACACACCAACGCAGCGCGAGTGATGAAGACCGAGGCTGTGTTGTGGCACAACTTGTGCAATGTCCGTGTGAAGGACTCCGCCAAGAAGGTTGTGAATGCCGAGCTGGCCTGTATCGCGAATGGCAAGCCGCACCATGACCAGATCCTCACACAGTTGTATGAGGAGGCAAAGAAGTTCGGCTAAGCCGGCTAAGCAGAAGCAGTCCACTGCGCGTGTTGTGAGATGGGGTCCGCTCATAGCACATGCGGCCTGTACTGACTTTTCTCCCTAGGCCTGAGGCCAACAACGTCACAACGCTTGAGTGCAGCGGACAGGGGCAAGCTTGCAGCCTTTAGGTTTGTGCTACATGGCTGTTGAGCATCACTAGGCTAGGCTAGGCTAGGCTAGGCCTTCAGGCCTATGGCCTAACGGTTGGGTTCAAGGCCGAGGCCTAGCAGCCAGCAGCTTGAATGTAGGGTGTCGATCCCCTGACCGCGACATTCAAACTCTTTTCTTCATGTGCATACCCGGAGCCACGTGCCTTTCTAATGGTTTGGTGGAAGAGGTCAGTGCTGACAATAGCAGCTAACAGCTAGCAACAGCAGCAGCTGACTGCTGCTAAGAGCTAAACGCTAACCAAATCGCTTTTTTTTTTTTACGGGAGTACAGTTGGAGGTTTGGTGTGTTGTGATGTTGGGTATTGGGGTTTGGAGTGAGTAATGCGTAATAATAATGAGTAATGAGTAATGATGTCACCTCACTTGGGCGTAGCAGCTGTAGCATTGTGTTTTGACGGATCCTCGCCAAGCCATGCGCTGCATGTGCCCAGGATTTAGGACAGCTGCAAGGACACCCACGCACAGGTCGGTGCAGCAGTCGAAAAAAGGTGGGGTGCACAGCACTGTGCGATGGTCTGCTTTCGTGCTCATATTCATCCTTACAATTTCATTGAACTGACTTTGTGCGACGACCCTCGATGGATGTTTCTGGCACTTTGGTCCTTTTCGCTGAAGGACACATGCAATAAATGTAGGTCCCAATCCGCACATTCTTAGGCGGGACCCTTGAAGACTTATCGGATCTTCGAATTACAATCCTTTGAGGCTCTTCCTGTCTGATGATGCATGCACGGGAACCTGCACCCTGTCGGAAGTGCACTTGGGATCGTATTTGAATTCGTACTCAAACCCATACTCAAACCCGTACATGTACTTTGCCGATTCGATGCTACTTAGGATCGTACTTTGCATTTGTACTGGAACCTGTGCTTGTACTTTGCAATCGTACTGGGTATCCTACTTAAACCGTAAATTTAAATAATCTAGGATTTACAAGGTCTGCTTGTTCGCTGATATCATAACACTACCACTACCACTACCACTA